TGCTAACTGTTCTGTCTTTGGCTGCACAGACGAGCACAGAACACTGTTTAGAGTCCCAGCCTCAGAGGAGACAAGAGAGCAGTGGATTTATTGATTTATTTTATGTATATTGCTGCTGCCACACAGATCTAAAATAAACATGCAGTTTATTTCCCAGCTGTTTACCTTCACAGACATAACCGACTGTTTTTTGTAACTCTTGTGTGTTTTTAACGTAAACTTGTGTGTGAATGAGAACTTAGTTTAGTACTCGCATGCTGTGCTTCGGATGTGTGCGCTCAGAAAACCGTATATCATAAGTTTAAACTCATATGGTTTAAAACGCATGAATTCAGAGCGATAAACATGATAATCAGAACCAAAACAGATGTTTTTAGCTGGTACCAGCTGTAATGGCCCAGCTCTATTCTGGAAAAGGGGGCGGGGAGCAGCAGCTCATTTGCATTTAAAGAGACAGGCCCGAAAAACAGTGTGTGTGTTGGGACAAATGGGACAACCTACGGTCATGTGGACTTAACGGACACGCACACGCGGCGGCCATTTGAAAGTCCGTAAGACGTAAGACTTCAAGTTCACATGAAGTGTTCCATTTGGGACAGGGCCTATAAGTAATATTGCACCTACATGTCTTATTTGAGTATTATTAGACTGGTAGGGTTAGGGTTAGAATAAGTTGGCATCTACTTGCGGCATACTACTTAAAGTCAGTAGAATGTCTGTTAGGAGAGTTAGTAGACATGTAGGTGCAAGATTACTTACTGTAATCAGAATGTTCAAAAGGGACCATCAAAATAAAGTGTTACCAGATATCTAGATTGTTTAATTCTCAAAGCAACAAAAAGGCTTGAAAGCAACGTGTAAAAACTAAATGATGACTATTTTTGTTATCTACGTGAAATTAAGTATTTAAAAACAAAATGATAAAATGACATCATCATTAGTGATGGAGCTTTTAAAAACTCTTAATCAATTGCTTTGCAAAATAATTCTGCTGCTGTAAATGCAGCCCAAAAACATACATAAAATATCTTTTACAAAGCAGTTGTAGGTACTAATTTGTAGGGCCTATTTTGTGTGTTTTATGGAGATTTTGGCTAATCAGCCAATAAGAGACAATTACCTACTACTCTTCCTTTTTTAATATACAAATGTTTCTTTAAAAATGTCTACAATTTGTAAAACATCATTGAGATCAGGTAAAAACCATACAGACTCAAACTGGTTCACGAGTTCACTAAGATCACCCCTAACGGCAAACTATTGAAATTTCGTAACGTTTTGAAACCGTTATGATTTAATGCCTTGCTTACTGAAATTACATGACTTGGTAGTTGGTTTGAAACAAAAGATTTGCAAAATTATCAAAGTGTCATCAATCAAAACATTAATGCAAGCACTTCCCAATGAATAATGACCTGCCATACCTTTCCGCCTCAGAAATACATCATATTACAAATGCAAAATGGGTTGTGAACACCATTTCTTGTTGATTATATTGTAGTATGATGTTTTTATGGATAATCTGGTCCAAATAATGTACATACTGATAACTGTCGAAATAGTAAAGAGACTTGCATTGAAGAGGAGTGCAGGTACAGGAGTGTAGCGCTCAGCGTGGATCAGGCTTAAGCTGTTGGGAAGGTGGCCTTCTCTCGCCCCCACAAAAAACAACCTAACATGAAAGAATGCAACATTACTATACGCATATCAAAAAACTTCAGAGTCCTTGTTGTTTTAACTGGAACTAGAAAGGTTTACCTGGAGGCGGCAATGATGGAGGCATTGAGTCCTCCGTAGCAAGACATGGCCACAGCGATGGGGACGATCCAGCTAATGGGGCCCAGCACCTGATTTCCAAATGTCTACAGATGGGGACACAAACTGACATTTTAATCAAATGATGGCTTAATTTATACAATAAATTCATAAAGACTAAAAATTAAGATGCCTGATTATCATAAAGATCCTTACTACAGCCACTGCATCACTACCCATGAAAGAAGGCATGTCCAGAACGGCATAGTATGCCACGTTGGTCAGCAAGTAGATGATTGTCACTATTGGCATGGAGATGGCTATAGCGATGGGAAGGTTCCTATGAACGATTAAGGAGAACGATTAAATACTTAGTATGAATAAGGAACATGATGCATTCATTGTTATGTAGCTCTGGATAATGGTGTCTGCTAAATTAATAAATGCAAATGTAAATGTGGAAAGAGAAACATGCCAGGTCTGAAATGTACTTGTGGTGGTAGCCAGTGCAACAAAAATGGTCTACCACAAATAATGTGTGAACTTTAACACAAATTGACTTTAATATTTCTATTAATTAATCCGCTATTTTGTAATTTAGTCTTATTTTTTATTTTTAAATGTTAGTTGGCAAAAAGGCTGTGGATTTAAATGTTATCTTATCAAAATTTGTCTAGTTTTAGTCAATGAAAACTGACATTTTAGTCATAGTTTAGTATATTTTTTTTTATTTCACTTCACATATAAATGTCCATCTGAAGTGATTTATTTAAACATATTTTACACAGAATGTTTGATGTATCTTAGAAAGCATGAATGCATTTACACTGCAGTTATGAGAGTAATGTTTTAAGTAAAAAAAATATGAATATCGAAATGAAATGATGAGGGAAAAAATAAATATTTTTAAAAATGAAACTAACACTGCCAGTTGGTGGCGACAAGTCAATGTCACTGAATTTTTAATTCAACCAGTGGCGTAGTGTCTGGGTATGTAGGTGCATATGGGCCCGGGCGGATTGGGGGCCCGCCGAGCTGAGGGGAACTTTTAATTTCCCTGCAATTTCCCTGAATTTCCCTTGTCCGACAGCTTATCAGAATTCTCAGCCCGAGTCCGACAGGAGCCCGTATTTATTTAAACATATTTTACACTGAATGTTTGATGTATTGCATTTACACTGCAGTTATGAGAGTAATGTTTTAAGTAAAAAAAATATGAATATCGAAATGATATGATGAGGGAAAAAATTAATATTTTTAAAAATGAAACTAACACTGCCAGTCGGTGGCGACAAGTCAATGTCACTGAATTTTTAATTCAACCAGTGGCGTAGTGTCTGGGTATGTAGGTGCATATGGGCCCGGGCGGATTGGGGGCCCGCCGAGCTGAGGGGAACTTTTAATTTCCCTGCATTTCCCGACAGCTTATCAGAATTCTCAGCCCGAGTCCGACAGGAGCCCGTGTCTTTTTTTCTCTCTCTCGCTTCCCCATTACACAGCTGCTGTTGCAGCCATTAAAATAGTTCAGTTTTGGTTTTTAATGGCAAAGTGGTAATATTGCTTTTCGTTTCTTTATTAAGTTAATTTAAAAATATGTTTGTTAAATTCAGGTTTTTGTTTTTTAAAGGAGCGGCCAGTGTCAGACAGTGAGTTGAGCATATGTTTGATCAATTTAGCCTTCTCAAATCAACACGACGACTTGCCTAAAATAAAATCTATAGACATAAAACACTTTGTGCATTTCACAGTATTAAGTTAAACATTTAACCTAGATAAATGTGCACTGTTAGGCGCATATGCAATCGTTTATGCGGAGAGTGGAAGCTGAACCGCGCTCTGCAGGACATGGGACTGATGGGAGGCGCCAGTGCGATAACTTGCTTTTTTTTTTTTAACAGTGGAAGCTTAAAAATATGCCGTCATTTTTGCTCATAAAGGTAAGAGTATACCTCATTCAGAACGGCAAAGTCTACTTTTATTTGGGTGCACTCACAATATCAACAAAACCTTGTGCTTTTGTAAAATAAGGAAAACAAACGCTTTCTGATGCGCTTTCTGTCGTCTCTGTCTTGAGCAGGAGTGCCTCACAATGATGAACTGAAACTCAGCGAATACTTGCCTTACCGAAATGATAAATATATCTATATAATGCTTTAAATTACTATTTTAAAATGAAACAATTCAAATTGAAAACAAAAACTCTTTCATTATGTAATCCGTAAAGACGCATTTCTCTTTAAAGGCACGTCCAATGAGGAGATGGCGAGTCAGGTTCGTCAAATTCATCTTTGTGACACTGACTCAGAAAACACTAGTATATGAACAAATAATTAAATTATCCCCTCACTATTTTTAACTTTTTTGTTTGTTTTTTATTTATTTTGTTTGTTTGTTTTTTTGGGCCGCTTTGCCAAAATTGTGTTTGGATTCAGTAGCTACGAATAGCCTATGGCAGCATTTTAGTGTCAAAAAAAAGTCTGTGGCATCCCTAATTATTCACATTTAACATATAAAACAGCAATAAAATGTAGACTTATTGATGTTTTTTTAAACTCTGATTGATCGATTTCATGAGACATTCGTTTGTATTATATTTGTACACATTTTTTTGCATATGGGCCCGGGGCTGGCTTGCTACGCCACTGCATTCAACCTATTTGTTCAAAAAGGCCTCAGGAACTACACTCTTAAAATAAAGGTGCTTCACAATGCCATAGAAGAACCTTTTTGTCTAAATGGTTCCATAAAAAACCTTTCCGTTTCACAAAAGGTTCCTTGTGGCGAAAGAAGGTTCTTCAGATTATAAAAAGGTAAGAAAGAGATGGTTCTTTGTGGAACCAAAAAGGGTTATTCTATGGCATTGCAGTGAAAACCTTTTAAGCACCTTTATTTTTAAGAATGTAAGCCAGTGACTGACTTTACATATGGGTCATTGAATCATTCGCTCAACCGATTCATTCAAAATGCAGATTAATTTAGAAATGAGACAGTTGGCCAAATTTATTTTTAATTTTGTACAATTTGCATATTTATTTATGAAGACAAAGCTCCACCAGATTCATAACAGGTGCGTACGCACATCAGTTTGTTATTACCCTCATTCAGTGTTAATGAATCTGGATTATTGAAATTGCGGGACCGCAGCTAATATCGTACATTAAAACATGCCCCCCAAAAAAGTACATATAAGAGCTTTCCACACAACGTTACCTCTCTTTTATGTAGGCCTAGACTTCATGCAGTTGTGTTTAGGAGTATTGTTACTCATAAAAAAATATGCTTTTGTAGAGTTATATAATTGCCTTAAATGACTGGTTTCTAAGGCCACCAGGAGTATGTGATTTTTGTACACAGATGCACAATTACTGAATGAGAACACAATATTAAAATGACAATATCCAGTTAAATGGGGGAAAAATGGATATGCTGACACCTCTCAGGGTTCTGGATCTCCTCAGTAACAAAGTTGAGCGTGTCCCAGCCAGAGTAGGAGAACAGAGCTGAATAAAGAGCCAGGGCAATGCTGCCCGCCTCCGTGGAGGAGCCCTCGAATGGACTAATGAAGTTCTTTGTTTCTCCTGTGGTGCACACAAGGAAGTATGAGAAACACAGAGATAAAATTATAAGACTGAGCAGTATGAGAAACACCCTGAGATCTCTAGTTAATTAGATATTAATCTGTTCAAACAACAAGTGTAGGCGAAACCTGAAAATGATTAAGAGCTACTTCCTTGCTCATGCCATCTCAATTCCTCTTATTAACTGTAACAAATCCACCCCTTCAGTATCCTGGAGAAACTACTTTTACCGTTAATTATTTTAATGATGCCCACTGTGATGACGAGGAGCAGAGACATGATCTTGGTGTACGTGAAAATATCTTGAACCAAAGTGCCCCACTTCACGTAAGCACAGTTTATGAAGATCAGAATACCTGAGGAAAGAGAGATAAGGAGGAACACATTAAATACAGTATGAAGTCAGCTGTGTGAGAATCAGAACATTTTAGTCAAAAGATGACTCACAAGATATTACACAAGAGGTTGTTTTTTTGTTTTGCTCTTATTTTCTCAGAAACCACAGCAGGCACTGTCCATGAATACAGTACACTATAGTTTCCCAATACTTTTTTATAAACGTTTTTTTAAATGAGAACTATTCAGTAGGTTATATAAACTTTACTGTGTTACGAAATCAGTATCAAAAACGTAATGCTTTGTCCCATATTTTATACAGCAGAAGGATTTTACAAAATAAGGATTTCTACAATTGTGACAATAAGTAATGTTACACAAATTTACACAAAGCTCAACCATTTTCCTAATGTTATTATAAGAAAAATATTAAAGGGGTCATATGATGCGATTTAAATTTTTCCTTTCTCTTTGGAGTGTTACAAGCTCTTGGTGCATAAAGAAGATCTGTAAAGTTGCAAAGACTAAAGTCTCAAAGAGATATTCTTTATAAAAGTTAAGAGTCAACCACGCCTACCTAAAACGGCTCGTTCTAACACGCCCCCACATATCTACATCACGATGTGGGAAGATTTGCATAATGCCGCCCAAATGTTCAAGCAAAGAAAGAAGGCGTAACTTTTATTCTCGCTGTAGTATTGTTGTTGCCACCGCCATGTCGTGAAGATGCTGTGTTTCGTTGTGAAAGCGAAACTACTTTGTTTGGCCTTCCAAAAGAGGACGATATCCACTTCGTCATGCCTAGAGCTGATCCGTGCTGGTCGCTGAGGAAATACATCAACTTCGCGCTGAGGATCGCCAGGATCGGCTTTCACAGTGGACGAAGCAGAGTCCAACCCGGGGTCGTCACATGCGGTTGCCGCAAGCCCTCCGGCCGCACCATTATCAAGCCCGCCGGCCTCCACTCCCTCAAATAACAGGTGCGTACGCACATCAGTTTGTTATTACCCTCATTCAGTGTTAATGAATCTGGATTATTGAAATTGCGGGACCGCAGCTAATATCGTACATTAAAACATGCCCCCCAAAAAAGTACATATAAGAGCTTTCCACACAACGTTACCTCTCTTTTATGTAGGCCTAGACTTCATGCAGTTGTGTTTAGGAGTATTGTTACTCATAAAAAAATATGCTTTTGTAGAGTTATATAATTGCCTTAAATGACTGGTTTCTAAGGCCACCAGGAGTATGTGATTTTTGTACACAGATGCACAATTACTGAATGAGAACACAATATTAAAATGACAATATCCAGTTAAATGGGGGAAAAATGGATATGCTGACACCTCTCAGGGTTCTGGATCTCCTCAGTAACAAAGTTGAGCGTGTCCCAGCCAGAGTAGGAGAACAGAGCTGAATAAAGAGCCAGGGCAATGCTGCCCGCCTCCGTGGAGGAGCCCTCGAATGGACTAATGAAGTTCTTTGTTTCTCCTGTGGTGCACACAAGGAAGTATGAGAAACACAGAGATAAAATTATAAGACTGAGCAGTATGAGAAACACCCTGAGATCTCTAGTTAATTAGATATTAATCTGTTCAAACAACAAGTGTAGGCGAAACCTGAAAATGATTAAGAGCTACTTCCTTGCTCATGCCATCTCAATTCCTCTTATTAACTGTAACAAATCCACCCCTTCAGTATCCTGGAGAAACTACTTTTACCGTTAATTATTTTAATGATGCCCACTGTGATGACGAGGAGCAGAGACATGATCTTGGTGTACGTGAAAATATCTTGAACCAAAGTGCCCCACTTCACGTAAGCACAGTTTATGAAGATCAGAATACCTGAGGAAAGAGAGATAAGGAGGAACACATTAAATACAGTATGAAGTCAGAACATTTTAGTCAAAAGATGACTCACAAGATATTACACAAGAGGTTGTTTTTTTGTTTTGCTCTTATTTTCTCAGAAACCACAGCAGGCACTGTCCATGAATACAGTACACTATAGTTTCCCAATACTTTTTTATAAACGTTTTTTTAAATGAGAACTATTCAGTAGGTTATATAAACTTTACTGTGTTACGAAATCAGTATCAAAAACGTAATGCTTTGTCCCATATTTTATACAGCAGAAGGATTTTACAAAATAAGGATTTCTACAATTGTGACAATAAGTAATGTTACACAAATTTACACAAAGCTCAACCATTTTCCTAATGTTATTATAAGAAAAATATTAAAGGGGTCATATGATGCGATTTAAATTTTTCCTTTCTCTTTGGAGTGTTACAAGCTCTTGGTGCATAAAGAAGATCTGTAAAGTTGCAAAGACTAAAGTCTCAAAGAGATATTCTTTATAAAAGTTAAGAGCCAACCACGCCTACCTAAAACGGCTCGTTCTAACACGCCCCCCCATATCTACATCACGATGTGGGAAGATTTGCATAATGCCGCCCAAATGTTCAAGCAAAGAAAGAAGGCGTAACTTTTATTCTCGCTGTAGTATTGTTGTTGCCACCGCCATGTCGTGAAGATGCTGTGTTTCGTTGTGAAAGCGAAACTACTTTGTTTGGCCTTCCAAAAGAGGACGATATCCACTTCGTCATGCCTAGAGCTGATCCGTGCTGGTCGCTGAGGAAATACATCAACTTCACACTGTGGATCGCCGGATCGGCTTTCACCGTGAACGAAGCGGAGTCCAGCCCGGGGTTGTCACATGTGATTGCCGCAAGCCCTCCGGCCGCTCCTTCAACGAATCCACCGGCCGCCGCTCACTCTAGCCCGCCGTGTGTGACGCTGTGTTTCATTGTGAAAGCGAAACTACTTTGTTTGGTCTTCCAAAAGAGGACACAACTAGAAATCAGTGGTTAAGTTATATTTACAACACTGTTCCAGAACAGTTCAACCAAAATATTCAGATGTGTGCAGCACATTTTATGGAGGACTGTTTCCTGATCCTAGAAGAGTAGACTACAATGCCGGCTGTTCTGACTCACAGACTGTAAGTAGATTTTTTTATATTTAAAGAATTTGCCACTGACCATTCAAACGCAAGTTTTGGGCAGTGTAGAGTAGTGCTTGTTGTTTGTCATTTCTCCGATCACAAATGCAGACATTGTTTTATGTTTAGGTGGCACGTTGTATATGTCATTATAATCCGTCCCCACTGGATGCCACAAATGCCTCGTTTGTAATGGGTTTTAATGTTTTTGTCTCGTCGCTCCGGCCTGACAGGGCATCATCACAGTATGGTGAGGGACGTAACATTTCCGTCACACGCTTGAGGTATCCGGCCAATCACAACGCACTGGATAGCTGGCCAATCAGAGCACACCTTGCTTTTCAGACCGATGAGCTTTGTAAAAATCGACATGTTTTAGAAAGGCGGGGCATAAAGAAGAAACAATAATGTACAGTATGTGGAAAATAATGTGTTTTTGAACCTTAAACCGCATAAACACATTTCATTACACCAAATACACAAAATAATGTTCTTTTTAGCACATCATATGACCCCTTTAAACAAATAATTTTTTATTTAATTTATAGGAAATATAAATTTATGTGTAACTACAAACAACACTTGGTCCCATTTTTACATTTTACACTTTAAGAAAAGCCCATAAAAATAGGGGCCAACGTACTTTTTTTTAACATGAACATTTCAATCCTGATTTTTCCCACAGGGGTACACCCATTATTTTAATTACACATTGCACTGTGTTGTGTTTCAGGGTTGAATAAAATAAAATAAAATAAAAATCAAATTAACAGATCATTTCTTGGCAGAAAAGTACTAGTACTTTTTCAATTTTTCTAGTTTATTTTTTTAACTAAAAAACTAAAACAAATAAATTGTGGCAACACTTTAGCAAAAAATTGCAAACATTATATTATATGTTGTTTGATCTGAAGATGAGAATCAACATTTTCTGAAGGTTAAGCAATAAGCATTGATATTTGCCAAAAAGAAAAACTTTTTCAGATTATTATTTTTTTGTCCCCTATTCTTGGAAAGTGCTAGGTCCCATCTCAGCTAGCACTTGAATTGTGTGTGTTGTTACAGTCTGTCCTCATGCACTGGTGGATCATGTCCCTGCCTTCTGAGAACACATTTAGCTCTGACTGGAAACTGTGTGAAGGCAACAGCTGCTGAGAAGGAAAGAGAAACAAAAACACCTCCTCTGTCTCGTGTACAAAAGCGAAAATTGGGCAAATCGGAGAAAAGTGCCACATTCATCCTTGTTCTGCTTTCACTTTGTTCAAACTCTGCTAAACAAGAAATTGTTTACATGAACCAAAAGAAATCTACATAGGCCTTTAACAAAAACCATTACAAATGAATGTACACACTCAGGCTTAGACAACACGAGTCACCAACAGAAAAGTTCATGGGTCTTTTGGACCTGTTATAGTGATACCATAGTATCCTTTGACGTACCTTTCAGAACCATGTAAATATAATAATGCATGAACATGGTAATCATTCATATTAGCATCTGAATTCATTGCTGTAGCATGGTACCATCACCTTTTTGTAAGGGACGTGTTGTTGATCTTTCACCCAAATACCAGTGTCTGCAATAGTCAAGCCAGCGGAGTCACAGAAAAAATGATTTGTGTGTTACTAAAATTATTTGTGCTACTGAAAACTAAATTGGTTATCAAGGTGTCACAACAAATAGTGCAGAAGTGTTAAGATAACAGAAATATGTACTCAATATGCGCTACGGTGAGACAGGTTAATCATGGTTGTTTGTTTCTCATCTTTCTCGACACATATAGATTCTCTTGCTTAATCACGCAGGTGACTGTGCCGTGTGTTGGATGCCTGAAGTTCTTTACTATTCAAACGTGATGAAAAGCACATTTCATTAGGGGTCATGTGATGATCTGGGGTAGGAAAAAGGAAGTGTGTGGCAAACAGAACCACAAAACAACAGGTCTACACTACAGCAGGAGTAATAACTGTGCAATGCTATGCTCAGGTATTAGAAAAGAAAAACATAATTTTTGTGTAATGAAGGGCCTACTTTATTAGTATTTGACGGCACATAAGTGCACATTATTCTAAACGAAAATAAATGTTAGTCTTCACGATCTTTCATTTCATTTAATAGATTGGCTAAAACAACTTCCCTTTTTGGCTGAACATATTGGTTAATTCTGGCATGGAACGGCCACTTTTCACACTCGAATTTCAATTTTTTCACATTACATTAGGGAAGTACAGTGGTTGCGAATGCCATTTCAGACAAAAGGATATACTGTATGTGTCTGTATGTGAAATTTAGTGAAGTAAAAAAAAAAAAAAGGTTTTGTGTGTTGTGATGTGAAAGACAGCAGAAGTGGAAAAATATTTCACTCACACACACACACACTAAATAATGAATAAATAAATAAAATCACTAAAATAACATCTAATTCTGTGTCAGCTGCGTCACACGGATACGTTGTTTTCGTTCAAATCAAATCATCCGCGTGACGCAGCTGACACCGAATATCATCCGCTGTTTACATTCAGTGGATACTCTCCAAAATGGCACCAGGGTGACGCGGAGGAGACGAATTGTTGAATAAAGTAGTTATTTTTGTTTTCTTTGCGTACAAAAAGTATTCTCGTAGCTTCGTAAAATTACGGTTGAACCCCTGATGTCACATGAATTATTTTACCGATCTCCTTGCTACGTCTCTGGACCTTGATCGTGGTAATTACGTTGCTGTCTATGGGAGGGTCAGAGAGCTCTCAGAATTCATCAAAAATATCTTAATTTGTGTTCCCAAGATGAACGAAGGTCTTACGGGTTTAGAACGACATGAGGGTGAGTAATTAATGACAGAATTTTAATTTTTGGGTGAACTAACCCTTTAAAGACTAAACCCTTTCTAAATCATGAAAAATGACATTTTTGTCTTTTTCTAATCAGGCACTGAATTTGACACAAATAAGAAGTTGTCTCCGGTAATACAATGGCTTTGGGGGGGGGAAAGGGGGACAGGATCTCACACAACACAATCAACTCAAAAGGAAAGTTGTTTCAGAGGCAGTTGATGAAAGATTAATAAGACAGTATTGTAATTTTTAGTTAATGCATTAACTATTAACTACAACTTTTCCTCAATAAACTCCTAATTTGCTGCTTATAAATATTTCGTAAGATAGTTGTTAAGTTTAGGTCTGGGGTCATACAGAATAAGGCATTGATATGTGCTTTATAAGTACTAATAAACATTATGCTAATAATATGCATGCAAATAAACAACTAGTTACTAGTGAGAATTGCTCCCTAAAGTGTTACCATAAATTTAAATTAAACTAAGATTAATAAATGCTTTAGAAGTATTTTTTGTCACCAATATTCCAGTATTTAATGTTTCACTAATGAGTTTGGGAAACAGTTCAATCAAAAACAGCTTGAAGTTAATTTCATTTTGAATTAATAATGACACTAATAATAGAAATCGCTTCAAATTGAGATATTTCACAAACAGGCAATGCCCTTACTAACCCTTGGCGACTGTAGGGGCCACTAGTTTGGGGTCTTATTTAATATATTTAAATATCGTGCCAAAAACAAACTGTACTTTACCTTTAATCATGCCAGAAGGAATGCTGTGGGAAAAAATGAAACTGGATTGTGGAGAGGAAGAGAGTAGAGTTATACAAGTTTCCAGAGTGATGGTGTTCCTGGTCAGAATGAAGAAAGCTAGACTGTCAGATTGAAACGGGTGTCGCAATCCCAGACCCTGATGTGTTTTTCCACCGGAGGCGAAATGGCTTCTTGAGTTGCCCTGTCTATTTTAAGAGGCCTGTACTGAGAGAGAGAGACAGAGAATGCCTGTCCCCTCCTATTGATAG